ATGCATATCTATACACTTATTTGCTAGGTTTAATGTTTACATAGATATATAGTTACACAAATGTGATGATGTTCACCAAATGTTAATAAGTTTTATACAAGTAAAGATTTTGGAATGATTTTGGGGTTTTTAAACTCAAGGATATTACTGTAAAATCATAAATTTTACCTGTATTCAACCCCTAATTATAAAATGATAGTGATAATAATGTTGATAGAAAAATGATTATGGATGCCTTCAGATTCTGTTTCAATGAATTAACTTGTAAGGGAGGAAGAGCCCTGTGGAGAGGAGATTTACCATGATACCTGAAAGACAGAGGAGATTGGCAAGTTGTATAACCAGGAACTGTATTTGCCGTGCAACCTAGTCCCATGGCTGCGTGTCTGAGCTGTATTCACGGTTGTAAGACTTGAACACACAAAGTGCAAAGCTATGTGTAACCAAGGACTCAGCATCTCAGCTTCGAAGACAAGTGAAATAGGCATGAGGGGGGAGCAGAGCTCAATTCACACTTTTGTTAACACAAGACTCCTAAGAACTCAAGACCTCTTTGCTATGGAGTTCCTGGAATTGGAATAATCTAGAAGTAGTTTCTCCGGTACAATTATCCGTCCATCATGCAGGGTGCTGGGAGCAGTGACAGTGGTGAGGATCACTTCAACTAAGGATCCTTGAATGGTGAAAAAACACACACAAACTAAAAAGAAACAAGAGGGCTGTTCAGCTCATCTCAGATAAAGTTTGGTAATGCTGAACAAGGTTCTAGAGAACCCCACGTAGCAAATTTTACTGGTAAGAATCTGAAGAGTGTGTAATTTAACCACATCAGTATCTTGGCCTCTTATGACTTTGGGAGATATACTCCAGTTACATTAAAAAAACAAAAGACTCGTCATTGAAAGTCAGAATTTCCTCATACTTCCAAGAGTTTGCCTTAATGTTAGACTCGTGTCTTTAAGACTAATGCAGAAGGTTATCATTGACCCAACTGCCACATCCTTGGCATTTTTCTCGTCTGCAGGAAGATATATTTAACTTCACCAATGTTCAGTAATTCATCCTTAAAAATAATGTTAATTTTGAAAGATGCATTGAATTCTAAGATGCTTCCAGACAACATATGATAGTTTTCTGTGTACATTTTTGATAGACTACTTAGAAAAGACTCATTTTTGACAAGCATAAGGAAGATTGACTTCTATGGATAAAATACTTTCAATTCTCTATAGATATTTTGTGATGGGGGGTCATTTAGCTTGTAAAATGGGTCCAGCCCAGAGTTTAAGAAGTTAGATGTCCAGATGTGTGTTTGCAACCAACTACATTTTCTGCCGGGTAGAAATCGTTCCCTTACTGTTCCATCAGTTAAGTAACTACATAACCAGAAAGTAACTTTGAGTAAGAAAATTCGGTATGTCAGTATGGAATATTGGATATTATGAACAAGGCAACAGGCTGGACTTCATGTGGGACAAACACACACGTACACTTTAAGCCAAACTAAGATTTTTCTCAGCTTAGGAGAATCTTTAAAAGAGCATGAACGGATCAATAAATTGTGGTATATGTATACTATGCAGTCATAAAGAAAGATGGAGACTTTACCTCCTTCATATTTATATGGATGGAGCTAGAAAATATTCTTCTTAGCAAAGTATCTCAAGAATGGAAGGAAAAGTATCCAATGTACTCAACCCTATTATGAAACTAATTTTTAGCTATCATAGGAAAGCTATAACCCAACTTTAGCCTAAGAATATGGGGAAAGGGGAGAGGGAGGGGAGGGGAGGGGGGAGGATGGTGGAGGGAGGGTGATTTCTAGGATCACGCCTATGATTTATCCTATAAGGGTACATGTGAATCTTTCTAAATATGGAAAATAAATGTCTTAACACAACAACGTGACATGAAGACTATGTTGGCCAATTGGATGAAAGTATTTCAAAGTGTATATGGAAACAACACACTGTACCCATGATAGTATTAATGTACACAACTTTGATTTAATTAAAAAAAAAAAGAGCCTTTTGAATTCAACAGATTTTCTTAGGCCAGAACTATAGGAACATTGGAATTTTATCATCCCAAAATTCGAATACATGAAAATGTGCAAAAATTAAAATTTTAACTAATTTTTTTTTAAATAAAAAATCTCGTTTCTATTTTGCTACTGAAATGTTCCTGTTTTTTGGTTTTTTTTCTTAAGAGTTAAGAATTTTGGTAAGTTTCTACCAAATGCATTTTATTTTTCCTCCCATTGGATGAAGCATTTAAAGGCAAACAAGTCACATACTTCAGTGTTCTAAAACTTATATATAGCTATTATGTAGCTTATAAAAGCTATTCAAATAATCCATTTATAGTGCAGAAAAGAAACTCTCATCAAAACTGCCTTAATTTTTAACCTAATTTTACTTACAAGTAACAGTAATCATCCTATGAATTTCTATAACTTGTTAAAGTTTCTGAAGGGCTTTTTCATATATTTTATTATTTGCATTTATCAGGCAGACAAACTAGGAAAGATAGATTTTTTCTTTTTGAGACAGACTCTCAAGCTGTTGCCCTGGGTAGATTGTCATGGTGTCACAGCTCACAGCAACTCTTGGGTTCAAGTGATTCTCTTGCCTCAGCCTCCCAAGTAGCTGGGACTACAGGTGTCCGCCACAATGCACTTGGCCATTTTTTTTTTCTTTTGCCATTGTTGTTTTAGCTGGCCCAGGCTGGGTTCAAACCCACCAGCCTTGGTGTATGTGGCTGGCACCCTACCCACTGAACTACAGGTGCTGCCCTGGAAAGATGGATATTACCCATGGGTCACTAGGACACTTTTGAGACAGACTGTTACAGTCTATCATTTCTATTTTTCAAGGTCAATTTATTAATAAGAAAACTAAAGCTCATAGAAATTGTGGCTGGCCTCTTAAAAGTAAATAGACTTTCTATCTGAGAATAAGCAACAATATGCATTCCCCGACAAGCAAATCGTAATGTGGAATTTGTTTGTGAGGTACATGTATACACATGCATGTATATCTTTATTTTAAATATTTTTGTTGTGTATATGTGCAGAAATTTCCCAAGGAGTGAACAAGTCTCCTCTTTCTGTTCTGAAACCAGATTTCTCATCTGACTGATAACGTTCCCATTGGCCTATGCTTTGCACCATTGCTGGTTACCAGGAACGAACAAGGATGAACATCTATCTGTTAATCTATGCAGTCGGGTCGACCAATGCAGTAGGTTTGGGAGATGTTCTTCAACATTCACAGGGATGAAGGTCAGACAGCTCAATGGCTTTAATGCTATAAAGTTAGTGGACTCTGCCTTACATGGGTGGAATCTTGGTATATACCTGATTTTCAGGAAAATCCTAATTTATACTTTTTGTTAGACCCTGAAAAATATCCTGGCTGAGAAGACAAATTCTGTGACCTGCCTGCAGGGGAGAGGGCTTCACAATCCTTTAAATTATGTCCCTAGGCAGCCACTACAAAGTGGTCTAAATGGCTTAGGAGATCAATCATCTTTGCTGTCTCTGCATTTACCATTAGGATGCTGCATTTTCAAAGAAGCTTTGGCCTCTATTGCTCTCATCTTCTTCCCGTATTAAGAAATGTATTGATTTCCCTATATAATTATGATCCCTTCAAATATTAAGCTGTTTAATAGTATCAAACACAAGAAGAACTCAAACGTGAAAGAAGAGACTTCTAATCAAGGGAAATGTAAGCAAGCTAATTTATTTTAGTTTTCATACAACTAAAGCAAAAGCAACAAAGAAGATTTTAATGTTTTTCAAAGTTTACTTATGTAAGGTCAGGTGTTCGTACATCTGTCTCTAGTGTTACTCGTCTGACCAACATTCAGAAAGTTAAATAGTGCCAAAGTATTGTTTCAAGTACCAGAGCATGGTCACTACAGCAACGGTACTCAACCTGTAGGTCCCCACCCACAGGAACTGTATTAAAGGACCACGGCATTAGGAAGGTTGAGATCCACTGCACTATCGTGTATTAGGGAAGCTCTGTCAGTTCCCATGTTAAAAAAATAAACAAAGTTGATATAATGACATTAACTAAAAGTTTTATGGATGAGAATCCTCTGTCTGTTGTCACTTTGATATGTCAGGAAAAATGACTTTGGAGCAAAGTATTCAAATTATGGCTTACTAGGCAACCCATTTGCTAATGTCTATATTGGTACCGTTAAAGATCGCTTTAGCCTAAAATAGATTTTCATATTTATAAAGAAGTATAATCTTTTTCCAACTTTATATAACAAGCTTCTATTATTTCTGTCTTAAATTTATTTTCACAAATATACACATATCTCAGGAGAATATCTATTAGACTTGAAAGATTCTAGTATGATTTTGACGTACCCAAGAATAGTTACTACTTTCTGAGAAATAACACACGTTAGCCCAAATGAACAGAACTCAGCTGCGATCTTTTGGTTTTCAGCATGCTGCCCAGTGATCAGACTCATAACACACACACACAGACACACACATGCACACATTCGAAGGATAAATATTCTGGTTTGCTTAAATGATATACGTCCAGAAATGAATTTCATTCCATAAAGCTCTTTGTCATTCCTCTCAAAAACGGATGTCCATTTAAGCTGATGAGTTCAATAATATGTCAAATTAAAATCATCAATTCATGTCAGGACTTTTTGCAAAAGTTATTCAAGATGCATCATGTACCCCCTTTGAATGACTGCAACTGTGTATTAAATAAAGGCCAAATTTTATAGACTAACACAAGCAACACTGTAGTTTAGTTGAAAATAGTTTTCTGAGTCATTAGTTTGAAACTAACTTTTGCCACTGTTTTCTAATTATTTTACTGCTTTGATTTCTACACATAGGTCTTTAGCTTAAGGAAACTAAATACGTGCCGAACAGATAAGGGAATTCTATTCTATTTCAGCCTAAAACATAACCTCTAAATTATGTTTCACAGTAAGCCAAAGCCAGTATCACATACCTTTCGGGAATGAATTTCTTTCACATACAATGGAAGTAGAAACTCAGATATACCTTCAAGTCGGATTCCCTTCTTGGTGACTCTCAGATTTCCCATACCATCCTACAAGCAATGAAATATAATTCACTTTTAGGTTAATTAGAGAATGAATATCTGGCCACAATTTTCTTAGGCCTAAATTGAGAAAACAAGCTCAAATCAGAGATGATTTAAGGAAAATGAGAGATTGAATCTGCTTAATGAATGATTGTAGCACATTGCATGCATACAGAGGGCTCTATTTAAAATGAAAAAGAGGATTATGAAGGAAGGGCATCTTTTCCCGGCTCTATGAGAGACCAAGATTTACTTTCTTCATGCATTGGTCAGTTAAACTAAACATTAGGTAATAATGATACTTACTACTTGACTTACTACTTGATCTAGTAATATTTTTATATTACAGTTATACAACAATTTTGTAATATTTGAATCTTCCCATTTGTACAATAATGTTAACAAGTATTTAATGAATGACATGAATAAGCATGGAGATCTAATATTCCTGCCAGGAGGAAACAAATGTTCTATCCTTTATAAAACAACATCTAGGAAGAGAGAACACACACACAAATAAGGTTTATGAGACATAATGAAGTAAGTAAAAACAGAGCACCATTGGGAGTTTTAAAAAGGAGATTGTACATCTAGTAAGAGAATACACCATTTTTCATGAAAGACCCTACCTATGAGAAAGGACTTGAAAATGAGGCATTTTGACAGGGGAGGTCCTTGGAGAGGGGAATAAAATGAATGTGCTGGTAACATTTGGGAATGAGCACACCCTCTGATCTGGCCAGTTTATGAAGTTTGTACTCTGAAATATTGGGACAGAAAAAGAACTGAAAATATGTCTAGAGGCCAGAAGGAAGCCATGAATTTCAAAGCTAAGGGGTGTGTACTTAGCTAGAGATGAGAGGATTCTAGCCATCTTCCAAGAGAAGAAAACTAAAAAAAATATACATTAAATGGCTCAATGGCTTGAAATGTTCAGAGGGAAGCTTCAAGAAGATTAAGCTGGCAGAAGGATTGTGTAGGGCGAACTGACAAAGTATCAGGAATCAAGCACCACTTAGCCATATGAGGAGTGTGGTCAAAGAGTATCCTAAAGAATTATGACTAATTTATATGGAGATGCCAAAAGGAGGAACATGTAAGATTAATCTAAGGCTTCACAGACTCAAATAGATATGGAAAAGTAGCAATTTTTTAAAAAGTTGAATATGAATTTATAGTGTCAGGGTCAACAGTAAATTTAGCTTTTTAAGATTCTAACTTTATAGCATTCACGTATCATTGGAGATGCATGGTCTATCAACCAGCACATCTGTAGAAAAAGGCAGTGGAATGACAACTGATTAAGGAGGACTTGACTCTAGCATGGGGCATAAGCAACCCCGCTGCAGAAAGACTCTATAAAACAAAGGAGAAATTACTCAATGATAATGAGGTCTAGGGGCTGGGAAAGGTATTTGATATATCAGGGAGCTTGTGATCAGTATTTGAGGAAACTGGAGAGAATATCATGGTCTCCCCCTCTGTCCCCTACCATACCCCAAAAGCAAGCCAGTGAGGTGCTATAATTGAAGGTATTAGTAGTAGGCAATAGTTACTGTAGAAAAGTTTTGGATAAAGAATACATAGAATTTTAAATAAGAATTGAAGGACTTTAAAAATACTTTTGAGTTGGACTACAGGAAACTAAACAAGAGAGACATTTTGAGGGGGTCAGGTCTCCATCGTACCATAGAAACAGTAATGGATCTTAACTGAATTAGATTTGGGGTGAGACAGAAGGAATTCGTTTCTGGAGGAATGGGAAGAACCTCAAAGCTGACACTGGCAATCCTTATAGGAAACCAACTCTGAATGAATGGATGAATGAGTTCCAAGCAGAGCTGAAGACTTTCTCTAATAAGAAAACACATATAGGGTGGTGGCTGTGGCTCAAAAGGGTAGGGTGCCGGCCCCATATGCCGGAGGTGGTGGGTTCAAACCCAGCCCAGGCCAAAAAAAAAAAAAAAAAAAAAACACAAAAGAACACAGAGGACTCCTTTGTATCAGTTTTATAGGATCCTCTTTCATTTTCAAAAACAGGGTCTCTGATGTAGACAGTAAATAACATGGTCACACATTTACTGGCATGTCTAATCAGTATGGTTTGGCGATAGTACACCTATCTAAGAATGGACAGTGAGAGAGACTCCAAACTGAGGATGTGCTAGACAAGAATGGTGGGGAATCCTGAGAATGTGGCATTCTAATGGATCAAAATAAGATGTCTTTGAATAGTCGACCATTGTTTTTCCTGTTGAGTGGTGACAGGTTAAGCAAGAAGCAGTCTTAGGCTACCAAAATAGAGCAAAGTCAAAGAATGGTGAATGGTGATAAATTAACGACCAAGTTCAGTAGAAGTTGTGAAATATGAGACATTTTCAGATGGATCAATTGTCAGAAAAGGAAACTGGATTTTTAGATCTTGAAGGGAGTGAATTTTCAATTATGATGAGACCTTAAGAACAACCCAAGCAATAGCAGCAGAGCTAGAGACAACATTCTTGGAATTCAGAACATTAAAAGAGTATTAATTAGAACATGTTCATTAGGGCTTTAAACAAATTATTTTGCCTTGACTAAATCTCATACAGTGATTGCCTGTATATATTCTCAAATCCCTCCCAGAAAGAAGAGTTCTGAAATCCTCCCCATAGAGTGGCTATGGAGATACTTAATGTCACTATTAGGCTACCTAAGAGCAATTACAAGTTCTGTCACCACGTAATTTTCATTTCCGTATTAATCTTGAAAAATGTTCTGATTAGATGATTGGAAATAAGAGCCCTGGGCATCCAAAGTTACCAAAGTTAAGTGTAGAGCTGCTTATGCTATATACATATTTAATCTTGGAATGATTCCAAGCTTAAGCTCAATGAATTGTCTTGTATTTTCTTTGTAATATACAATTGTGGATCTATAAATGATTGTATTTCTTTTAAATTTTATTAAGCAAAATTCCCCTGTATAAATATAGGACCACTTTATGATACTATAAACTCCACCATACCTATTTGTCTCTCCTTTTTTTCCTGACTTGAATAAAAAAAAATGACATTTCATCTTATTTGATATTTTAGATGGACTGATAAAATGCATAAATTCATATAAGATCTGTTTCACATATATTTAACCTATGGCTCACACGCACGCACCAAGTCCACTAACACTTATGAGTTCATGAAATAATCTGGTTTTCTTCTACAGGAATATTAGTAAGTTCATTTTTACTGTCACTATAGCTTGCTGATTCACTATATTCTTAATCTCTTTAACACTAGAAAGGAAGGAATGAATTTCTGATTTTTTAGTTAAGGATGCTATTGCCAAAAGCTTCTCCTCTCCTTCCAACTCCTTTCCCTCCTCCTGTCCCTCCCTCCCCATCACTCTCTCTCTCTATTTAGCAGAACTAAATAGTTTTCTGTTCCTTTACCCACTTTGACAGAGAATACGGTGCCATTTTTGAGGCGATATGGGGCTGCATAGCTTGGGTTTGCAACTTCGCTTTACTATTTTCTAAATGTTGATTTTGACATGCGGTTTATCTAAACCCAAATACATTTTCTATAAACATCAGAAAAATCACAGTATTACTCATAGGGATGGTGTAACAAATTAATGAGGAAATATGTGAATGTATTAGTCTTGTGCCTGGTGTATTTGAAATGCTTATTCCCTTTCTTGTAGTTTATTGAAAATAATATTTTAATAGCAGATTTACCTGTTCTCCAATCAACACATTTAAAAAAAATCAACCACTTTTCATTTCTTATTTCTCATTACCAATGGCACGATGACAAGTCAAGACCACTTTATCTCCAACATGGCAACTGCCACTTAATCACTGCTTACACTATTACCTTACTACATTAGTATTTATTCTTGCTCAAGAACCTACCACATCACTCTAATCTCTAGATAACAACCTGCATCCTGGGTGGTGCCTGTGGCTCAAAGGGGTAGGATGCTGGCCCCATATGCTGGAGGTGGTGGGTTCAAACCCAGCCCCAGTCAGAAACCGAAAAAAGAAAAAAAAAAAGACTTTAAATCCTTTAATTTAAACATTTACTGTGCTTTCTAAATAATCCATTGTCATTTTCATGTTTAGGGGAGATATTATGAAACAATCTCTTCCGTGATAGTCTGATCGTCTATTCCAGAATGATTTTCAAGTTTAAGTATTTCCACTAAACTGAACTGCCAGGATTTCGTTTCAGAACAGATCTATGTTTTCCCATCTAAATTTCTATAACCACGTATTTCACTGTTTGAACTGATCTGCCCTATCTCCTTTTACTACCCTTTCCCATTATTCAAGACCCAGTCCAAAGAATTCCATTGTGAATATCCTAGTCAGTAACATTTCTCTCTATACCATGTCTCCAAAATGCTGTATTTATACTTACAAAATATATCATATTCTGCTTCTAATTTCAGTTAGCTATATATTTATTTCAATCTCTTCATTAGAAGTTCATAATCAATCTTATTCATCTGCGTGCCCATTTATTCTCCTTTCATAATCTTTTGGAGAGTAGGTTTTTTTGAGTATGTGCTCAGTAAATGCTTGACCGTCGACTTTATCAGTAGAACTCAGCATTTGAAAAAAATGAAACAGAATTAAATGGATATCCTTTTAAAATTCATGATAATGAAAATGTATATAATTCTTCTTTAAAAATTTTAAGTATAATTTTCATGTGTTTGATTTTTGTGGCAAGGTGGAACATACTTTGTTGAGAAACTTTTTGGAATTTATTATGTGAGACTACCTTAAAAATGAATCATAGGGATGAATGTCAACAAAGAGAATATTAACAGTTATGTCATTTTAAATTGAATATCCATGTTCAGAACTTTGCAATGATTTGACCCAAGCTCACTTGGTCCTCAAAATTTTTAATGATTTTGGCTACATTGTATTAGAGATTAATGTTAACTATCCCCAATATTTAAGGTACTCTTCAAAAGGAAAATGTAGTCGTCAGTAATAAGCATATTGGAAGGAA